GAGGAAGTGCAAAGATGCTTCCGGTGTGCGAACAATGACCGACAAGGCAGGTGAGCTTATCCCTATCCGAGGCATCGGGTGCGCCTTCAAGCTGGTTCCCGGCACTGTATCCCGTGTAACACAGATCGAAGCTTATGGTAGGGTAGGCACGAGAACCCTTGGGATCCACCGTAGGCCGGTCCGGCACTGCCTTCATCATCACACAGTGGCTGCACCACGCAGCATATGGCAGGTGGGTGACCTCATGCAGCAACTGCGCCTCACGAGAGGGCGGCGCTGGCATCGGCTGCATGTTTGGGTCACGGGAGGAAGCATCGGCGGCGTGCCGCGAGATTTCAACCTCGGCCGAGAGCTGTTGCTTTTGCTGGTAGGCCTTCAAGCGATCAAAGCAGCATTGCTTCGAGCCGGACTTGCTTAGTCCTAACTTCTCGCAGGCAGCCTTCAACGCCCCGAGGGCGGAATGCACAGAAAGAGCGACGCCGTCAATCACAACATCCTGGTCTGCCTGCTGGCGCACTGGCGGCGCCTCGAACGCATCTGCAACTGGCTCCGGCACGGGTGCGACTTCCTCTGGCTCTTGGCCCATCTGAAAATCAAAATCAACTCCCTCGGGCGCGTCAGCGCCGAAGTCGGCCTGCGGCTCGGGATCAACCTGCTCGCCGCTGTAAGACTCAACGGCACCTTCAACCTTGACTCCGAAAATCTCAGGATCCTCATCGCCGCTGCTCAAAATGGTGATGCAGTCGGCCTCGCCACACGGGAGCGGCGCCGTGGCATTGATCAGCAGCTGCCACTCGACGCACTTTTCAAGGATTTTCCATGACCCTTGGTAATGCACAAGCGTGGTCCTGCAAGGAAGAGTCAAGGGAACGAGCAAGGAGGGATCAATGTACAAGGAAGTGACTCCTCTCCACACAAAATGGTTCCCGCTCGTAGACATGTGCCAGCCATAAGGCGAGTTCTCAAGCTCATCTGAAGGCTCAGCAAGAGTAAACCGAACATGTGCAATCGGCTCACCTATGGCATCGACGTCATCTTCAACCCGAAACACTGAAGCATCCAAGCTCAGGCTGTTGCCTTTGAATTGCATGGGAATCTCAGCTCCTGACTGCTGATGCACAAGGAACATGCCATAGTCATCTCGCGAGGGGTACCATCCGGCTTTGATTAACCGGCCGAGAGAAAGAAGAGGCTGGGACACCCCAGTTGCAATGCACTTCTCACGCAACGTGATGGGACGGCCATCGCGGCCGGTGATCTGGAACTGGATGTTCCTTTGCGCTGCAACCTTCATCTTGGAACCTTGTGCATCCCTGACCTGAGCTGAAAATGCCTTGGCAACCTTCTCTCCTGCTGTGCTATAGCTGAACGGCACGCATGACAGATCAGCACCGCTGTCGACAATCACTGTTTCAAGCTCCTGGCACACAGCACGGACAAAACTCTGAGGCGTTGCACTTGACTCTGAGTGGCACTCAGGCGTAGGACCCATGGTGCCATCGTACGACCAATCACCGAAGGACTGGGGACACTCAGGCAAAATGCACATGGCGTCTCCAGTCGCTGACGCGTGGACCCAGTCACTGTCGTCATCGCTGTATGACATGTCATAACACAGGGGCCCAGACTGGAGGTGATTGCAACGGATCTCGTAGTTGTTCTCTGACTCACACACGTCACACCAACTGGACATGTGACTGCTCGGCGATGCGGCTGCACTGAAAGTTGGGGATTCATGAAAATTGGCATCCAAGCTAAAATCGTCCGAAAATGAAAATTCCAAGCTTGGCTCGCATGCGGCCTGGGGCCCAGACTGTGGCAGGTGATTGCAATGGATCTCGTCGTTGTTCTCTGAATCACACACATCACTGCACACACCCGGGAGCGATTGATCATCGGATGATGTGTGTACAAAGCTTGAGATGCTCATGATTATGTGGCTTATGCCAACAGTCGTGTGAACTGCATTTCACTCTTGTGATGTGCCAGACAGCACATGGTCCTTGAAGGTGAAATGCACCATTTTGGTGCCAATCTTGATTTACAAACTCCGAATGCGTCGGCTGTGGAGCAGCCGTAACTCCGAGCGGATGGCCAACATCCTGACAACTCAGAGTTGTCACAATCTTTACATGTGGCAGCAACGTTAAACGCATGCTGCATTGTCGATCTGAATCCTCTTGAGTGCTTACGAAGGTGACCTCAACGCAGTGACGAGTCACCGCATTCTTGAAGCGCCTCCGCTTGGGTGAGTCAAGCGACTTTGTGTGCCGAGCTGCCCAAGCTTGGTATACAGAGATTGCGTAGAGCTGCTGTACAGTCGTAGCTGAAACCGTGTAGATATGAGCCCAATATCGTACATACGTAGCGTTGTGGCGTAACTATCGCCGAACACTACGAATGCAGACCATCGTGAACTAGTGTACTTTGCTTTATGGTGTGGCAAACTTTCGATCGGTGTCGATGCTCAGCGCATCTCACCGAGGCGGGGTGAAGAAAGTTTTCCCGCACGCGTGCCCACCATTTTACTTGTATTTCACATGTGTTTTACAGTCATACTCTTTGTCTGCAGTTTCACTTGAGATCTCTACTTCCGTGCGAAATCATGGCTCAAGAAATGAGGGTTGTGGGACTCTGTTTTTCTTCAGTTTCCCCAGCAGATCAGAACTGAATTCGGCCTAATTCGGTGGTTCGGCTTCACGCCCGTTGACAAGCTTCCAAAGGCTCGCGAGGCCAATGGATGGAGTGGGTTAAAAAGTAAGTTGCTTGGAAGTGCCATGCAGCTACTTCGAAGTGCCGCGCCCCCTAAAGCCCTTTCGAAATCCCGTTTTGCAAGCACTTTAAAGCCCCTGAGATCGTTAGACTGCGGGCCGTAAACCTGCGTACCGAATTCTGACCTATGTCTCGAACCCAGACCTGTAGCTATCATAGAGTGGAGAGCTGGAACACCCTCCCCAAAGAGAGGATAGAACAAGCTTATGCGGACGATGGGTGCAAGTTGCACGCTTCAGACCAGGTTTCACTGTGAGATGTGGCATTGTTTGTCAAGTTTACGTCATTTTACATGGTTTCATGCAATTTCCCTTCGTTTGCTCACTTTTTTCTTGTCAAAAGCTTTCAAACAGACCTAAGAAAACCAAAGAGTGGAAGCTGCATATTGCACAGGCACCATTGAGCCCTCTCTCTGTCGCTCTGTCGAAAGGTTGCAAAGGATGGTTTTTGTGCTGTTTGCGTCACCGGTGGAGCTCACATGTGGTTCAAATCAGCTTGTGTCTGTGCATCTGTGCAGCCGTTCCGGACAAACAGGTTTTGTAGGTTCTGTGTGTGTCAGCCTGTACATGGTGCTATGTCAAGAAGCTCCTTTTCCGAAGAAGCAAGGAAGAAGACAGACCGTGGCATCATATTACCCCACACACTTCCGATGGAAAAGTAAAAACATGTAGTGACGAGCCAAAACTTTTCAAAAACCTTTGATATTTGCAGGTTCCTTCAATACGGTACTTCAAAACATGTTAACTTTCAAAAAAATGGCTGTCAAAAAGCCGAGATTGACGAGTACCCGACATTGCGTTGTAATGTGCACATCAATGTGTCGTTTTCGCTGCCGCAACTCCCAGCATGAAGTTCGAGCGCTGTCCGCCTGAGCTGCAAATGACCTGGTGGTCGTCAGTGATTGCAGCATTGAATTGCTTGTACATGTCCCGCATCGTGAAAGTTCTCATCAGATGGAGCAACATGAATTGTCGTGCAAAATGAGGCGGGTTCCCGAGTTCCACACATTGAAGCGTGTTTAAGAATGTGAAAGTTTGTTCATGTTTGATGTGTTGTTTGATTGAATCAGTCCTGCAAAGCCTTTGCAGGTGTCGTGTGTATAGGTGACAGGTTGCAGCACCGTTCCTTCATCCAGTACCCTGCAGGTCATGGCTGTCAGTTCAAGTATCGGCGGGAGCAAAAGTTCAAGCAGTTGATGCAAACGGCCAGCATGGACAGAAAGCATAATTGAGTCATTAAGTTGAAAGTAGGATACGTGCATTGCCACTTGGAAACATTCTTCCAATTGCGATCTCAGCAGTCGCAGCATCGCCGGTTTTTGTTTGGTTTTCGTAGGCGAGCCTTGCAGATGGCGGCGGCATTTCGGTCGAGAGCCCATGCCCTGCCCAGGCCATGCCAAGCGTTATGGATTCCAGGTGACGAGACGCCATGGAGTCGAGCATGCCAAACCAGCTCGTTCAGCACATCTGGAAACCGTAGCAGCAGCCCGCTTGTTCGCGCATTAACGAGGCTCCCGACCTTCGTGAAACATCGAAATGGAAAGCGAAACTGCAGCTTGGCAAAGGCTCGCGCTGTTCCAGATGTTTCCGAGAGTCCAAGAACGGCTTTTGTGTCAGTGGTGTCGTGGCTGAAAGGGAAAGGTTTTCGGAAACTTCCGTGCAGCAAGCGCAGCTCAGGGTGCCCGCACTTCCGAGATCGGTCACAACGGAGATGTGTGATTTTGGCGACTGCACAAGATTCGTTGTCCGTAGATCTTGTTATATTGGAAATGTCGGCATGAGAGACACTAGTTCAGCCATGTCCTCAAACTCTTCGGAACGGCTATTTTCTCGAAATGCTTGGCATACAGTCGTCAGATGTGCTGTATCACCGCGGACCTGTAAAACGAGCTCAGACGAAACACTTATCAAGCATCAAAGGTAGAGACTTCCCAGATACAGGGAAGACGGGCAGACTCGAGCAACGTCGGTCAAGCGACTGTGTGGACTGTGTTGCTAAACTTGTAACACGCCTCCAAGAACTCAGGTGAAATGGGACTGATCTGCGACAAGATTATATAAACTCACGCAGGCAGCTCCTGAGCAGCTGCAGCAGCAGCAGGCGGGCACGGGCGGGCATGACTGAGTGTTCCAAGTGACGCTCGCTCCAGAACTCTTGAAATGTGTTGGCCCAGTGCTCAGAGTAGATTGAAATGATCATTCCTATCATTGCTCACATTACTCGATGCCATGGAGATGGGTGTCCATGCCGCGAACCTGTTTGGTTTGTTGCAGCTTCGCCACGTGCAGGCCAAAGGTTTGAGATGCCGCTTCCAAAGGAACCGCTCCTGGGTGGATCGATTTGAGGTGACATCTGTGTTGAATGGCCACAGGGGCTGCGTGAATACCATCCGCTGGTCCTCAGATGGTGAGCTTCTGGTAAGTGGGAGCGATGACATGATGGTTCACCTTTGGAGGCTGGGCCCGCATCTTTGCGGCCATGCAATTCGCCCGTCGGTCTGCCTTCCAACATTTCACCGGCATAACATTTTTGATGCGATCATCACCAGCGACATGCAGAGAATTGTGTCGTGTGGGGCTGATGGCTACGTGTGCCTGACAGATATCTACAGTGGACAAAAGATGAAACTGTTCGAACCTGACAGAGGCCACTTTTTTGCATTCAAAATCGCAACTTTGCCGGATGTTTTGGACCACACCTTCTTTGTTAGTTGCAGCGATGGCTGTGTTCGCCACTTTGATTTGCGAGGGGATGACCATGCCGTCGCCGTCAACACAGGTGGAATCGGATTGGCAGGACTGTCAGTGAACCCTGCTAGAACCGACACTATCGCAGTGGGTGGCAACGATGCGTTCTTGCGGATTTATGATATTCGCACCTTGCGCATGCATCCCGAGTCGAGGGTTGCAGCAGACATGCCGTTGACTCCAGCGGTCTCGCTTCACTCAACGGAAAATATGATTCGAAAACAGCGCAGCATGGCATCAAGTTTGTTGTCTCGATCAGAGGTGGGCATTTCTGGAGTTTGCTGGAGCCTTTCCGGACAGTCCCTTCTTGCCAATTATCGAGGTGGCGAAATCGAGCTTTTTGACGTCGGACCTAGCACAACAAGTGAGAAAGCCGTTGCAGTGACAAAGAACTCGGCACCAGTCTCGCTACCAAGCGAGGCATGCAGCGTAGTGACCTTGCCGGCATCCTCTGTTCGCTTAAGCTCACGACGGTCATTTGAGGGTAGGACCAACGAAGAAACTTGTGCAAAGGAAGTTCAATTTCTGTGTGGTGAAGCTGCAGTGGGCAGCGGGGGAGACTGCGGCAATTTCTATGTGTGGGATGTGTCCTCAGGCGGGTTGCTCAAAAAACTCAGAGCTGATCGACACATTGTAAACTGTGTGGCGCCACATCCAACATGGCCATTGGTCGCCACATCGGGAATCGATTCCGCAATCAAGATTTTGGACGTTGCTGATGTGGATGTGAGGACGCGAAGAAGCGGCACCTTTGGAGGCAGCGCGTCTCAGTTTCAGGAAGCTCAGGAGACTAGCTCTGGGACTTCGCCCTCGCCCTCAGCCTCAGACCCATCTCCCGAGCTACCAGCGACTTGGCATGCTGAGGCCGAGTTCGCATGAAGCTATTCTAACTTGACTTACTAGTTCATTTTCATAGTGGTTCATAGTCCATGTCCACTTCGCTTGGCGCCGTCAAATCTAAGGAACATCTTGATGTGGGCCTGCAAGAGGCAGCAGTGCAAGAAGCGATGACCTTCAGACGACAAGGCAACGCAGCGGTCGGGCAAGCAGACTGGATCTCAGCGCTGTCCTTCTACGAGCGGGCCCTGCAGCGCCTATGCTTCGAACCTGTCGATGAGTTGCGCAATGAGACAGAAAGTTTGGAGCTTGATGTCCGGCTACACTGCGCATTTTGCACCTTAAATCTGGAAGAATTTGATTCCGCCGTTGTGCACTGCAACCGCGCGATCCAACTGGATCTGTACAACGCACAAGCATTCTGCAGACGAGCGGTTGCACATGGTGGGATGCTTGACTTCGCAGCAGCATACTCCGACATAGACACTGCCGCAAGCTTGGCTCCTGAAGACTCTGACATCGCCCGCATACGTTCAAGGTTGAAAAAGCACGAGAAGCGCCAACTGAAAGGTTGGCGCCGATAAGTTCGTAGCCGAGCATACTATTCCGACAAGCCCCGTCGCGGAAGTTATGAAGTTGGATTCGTGCATGATGGAGAGTCATCTTTGGTGCTCAATCCGCTGAAGACAGAGGATTGCTGCCGCTTTTGTCAATTCAGCAACACGTCCCAGCGATGTCTGATCTGTAGACGGCATGCATCTGGACTGCCACATTATGCTGCAGCTGTGCGGCAAGCCTTATCCCCGCGTTTGGACAGCATGCTTGTTGTCATTGGCATGGCCCGTAGCCACGGCATGTTGCAGCAGCTTGTTCATGTGCGTTCGAGTTGACCTCTGCCAGTGAGTTTATGGTGGCAAGGGCCTGCAAAGGCGGTATCCACCTATCAATGCTTCGTATCTCTTGCGGCCCAGGACCAACACGGATGAGTACAGTGTAGACGATGAGCACGGACTCCCTGCGTCTGCGACAACATAGCTTGAAAAAGCTGAACACTCCATGATGATGCAGGGTCTGGGGTTGGATCATGCCGTGAAGGCAAGTTTTAGTTCCAGTTTCAGCGAATCGGAAGCAGCGAAGTATGCATTCCTACGTGGCGCAGGAAATGCATCTTCTTCGCAACCTGGAAGACAGGCCCTGCTCAGCAGTGGGAAGTGCTTTTGGCCGAATCGTCTGGACAAGATACTGGTCACCATGTCAAGCATGTTGTGTTGTAGAGGCTTTCGGCCGGCATTTGGACTCTCTTCTCGTCAGGGTTTTGAGGTTGGGGGCTTGGAACGAAGCTTCAAAGAGGCGGCTGATGCTTGAAGCGCTGGCGCCGCAGAAGGCTGGCCCGGCTTGCTTACTGCTACACTGCAGAGTACCGCATTGCTGCAGTTGGAGTCATTGTCCTACTCTCCTGGTCTGTGTGCGTGGTCTTGGCTCAGAAACAGAATCGGGTCATCGTGTTTCGAGAAGACGGTTTGCTCTGTTTCATGTTTCTTCATGCCTTCGTTCGTTTGGCTGGAGGCATGTCTGCATTCCCATCCTTCATTCTTCCGTATTCATGTAAGCAGGTAGGTCACTGTCAGTCGATGATGCATGTGGTGCTTTACAGATATGTCATTGCCAATCTTGCACGGTTCTAGCCCCGACACCCTGCACTTGCTAATGCATCCGTGGAACCATGACAGTCCAAGTCTTCATGGTTTTGCTTCAATGCTGCCTTTCGGTTTCCCTGGGCAAACCTGCTCTGAAGGTGGTGCCAAACGGACCTCCAATGCCACACATGTCCAGGGGCCCGACGGCAGGGAGAGAGAAGCCCCCGGCAATCGACGACCTGACTGAACCCGGACCCAAGCATGCTGACAGACATGCGTTGGACCATGCTGAAACAACTTCGCAGAAGGCCTCCGCTCCGGGGTCCAGCTTGAGCTTGCCCTGCGAGGACGTTTATTTATTCCACAGCCAAGTCAAGAGATCCCCTGTACTGATGTACACATCTCACATTAGCACCTGGCTGTCGAAGAGCCCGCACCAAGCAGGCGTTGCAACGGTTGCTGTCCTGGTCGGTCTTCTTTGTGCATGGGACGGCCCGCGTGTTTGGCAGGTGCTTGTCATCACAGCGTCCTCTTTGATTGTCGCATGGCTGGTCCACTTTGAAGCAGTTCTCAAGAACCTGGTGCCGAGCCTCTTTGCAGAGCTTGTGTTAACGGTTGCAGCAGCCAGCACAGTGGCACTGGCTGTGCATACTGGCTTCGAAGGCTCTCAAGTTCTAGTCGGTGCTTTTGCAGGCTTTGCTGCTGCTTCATATTGCTCAGATTGGGCGCGTGCGGCTGATGACCACATTGCTGGAGCTGCACTCCTCTGGTCTTGCTTCGGCGGACTCCTTGGCACATGGATTCTACTTGCGTGGAGAAGGGAACTTCTCTCCACTGTCGCGCCGTTGTTCGGAAGCTTCTTGGTGGTGTCGGGATCGGGCAGCTTGCTGTCACGAGCCGTTAGTTTGCCATGTTTGCCACATATGGGCGTGTGGTCATGGGATGCTTTGGTACTGCTGGGCCCAGCCGGGACACATGCATTGGCATGGCACATGCTCTGCATACTTCTAGCCGTGTCCTGTCAGCGGAGCGGTCGTCCTGTCCTTGCGCTGTGGTGTTTGATCGCATTTACCAGCTTGGTGGCTCTAGGCGCTTTGCTGGCCGGAATCCAGTGTCACACAAAAGACAGGCGTGCTGATGGCACTCCCTGCCCAGCATTTCTGGCTGTTCCCGACAATTGGCAGTGGCAGCTTTCAGGGTGCACAGCATGGGTGATGTTGACACTGGTTTCTGGGTGGAAGCAAATCGTCAGCAGCCCTCCAACTTCAGGTGCAGAACAAGGTAGAGGAATATTTGATTCTCGTGCCCGTGGAATCTATGTGCCTGTGGAAGAGGTCTCGGCTGAAGACGGTCTTGCTGACAAAGCAGATCCCCTGAAGACCTTGTTGCCCTCTCAGCAAGGCGCCCCTGGCAGCCCAGGACTTGAGAAGCCTCTGACGCTTTCTGGCTTCGTTCATTCACTTCATGCACGGGGACGGGAGCGACTGGGCGGGATCGGGGGCCCCATGGGCCCCTCCTAGGTTCTCGGCCTTGGGTCCACAAGCGGCCCCAAACGAACTTGAAGGGGCCAAAGTGCGCCACTGCTACGCTCCGCGACGCGCTCACGTCCAAACAAAGATCACTGCCTCGCAGAGCTAATGCTGACCGCCCCCAAGTGCCACCTTTCGCATCTCCAGGCAGTCAAGGCGGCAGTCGCACCTCACTTTCGGATCAGTATCGGCGATTCGATGGGAGCGGCCACGGCCTTTCGCAGCTGCGAGGCAGAGGGCTTTGCAACGGAGAGATGCAATGCAGAGAGAGAGAGTGTCTGTGTCTCGCCAGGATAAGCGTGTCTCAGCACCATTCTAGCCAATTAAATCGCCATACTGGCAGGCTGCAGGAGCACCGATGCCAGCTTTCTACCGGGCAGTACTGCTGATGAGGCCAGTGCAGTGAAAGAGAGTCGCCCGATTTTCGGGTGCTCACTCGTCGGGAGGCTTTTTGTTTGGACGCGATGCTTGCCCCGAGCATGCTTTCGCCGTCCGAACAGACAAGTCAGGAATGAAGGAATGAAACGCATGAATCGACTCGGCGCAGATTCAGTTACTAATTTTTTGATCATTTGTGTGTGTGTGTGTGTGTGCGTGGAGAGATGGGGCGACATCATTTCGACTGTGTTCATTTTCCAATGCTGTTCGGTGTAGCTGTAATCGTCATCATATCATCATCATCATCGTCATTGTTATCATTCTCATCCCCGTTGTCGTCGTCGTCGTCATCTTCGTCATCGTTATTTTGGGTGGATGGTTTGGGCGAAGTGCAGTCTGTGCCGATTCGATAAAATTATCCGCAGGCCAAATGCCTTTCGTTTTCGGGGGCCGGAAAAGAAAAATGAATGGCTTGTGGCGGTTAGGGCCATGGAAGTCTCGTAATTCCTGGTTGGGAAGGGGGTGTATAGGTCTGGTTCAGGACAACCTTTATCTTGAATTCGAAGCTGCATAGGGCATGTGGCGGCAGAGGACTCACAGCCTGAGAAGACCAAGGGGCGAAAACTGGGTCCTGGTGTTTCCTTCATTCCTTCTGTACACGTTCTCTGGTGCAGGTCCTTGTATTTGTATTGGTCCATCGCAGATGATAGATCAGACTCACGCGCCATTTACAGAGGAGCCGCTCCGACTCGAAGGCTCTCGAGAACCTCCTTCACACCGCGTGATCAAACCGAAACAAGGAAATCAAGGACACAAGACTTGGAACCCTTTCCTTGAAGCCCGAGCTTTCAGCATCAGCAACGCTTGAACTTTAAAGGGCGCATCGGGAAGCATGCAGAAAAGCGTTCCGTGTCCGCTGTGTCTCAGTGCTTTTGACGAGTTCATGGCCGCGGGAAGAGCATGATAATGTCAGTGCTAAGAATATAATACACAAGCAAGCAAACGGACTTGTCGCGGGGTGCTGGATCAGGCGCGAGCTGCTGAAATGGGCTTTGGTTTTGGGCTCAGCAGCCCCGGGTGCCTGATCCGTCAACGGGCGTGCGGCGCGACACAAGGCCCCCTTTTCCGCTTCCGGCGGTGCTGCTTCCTTGGATGCAGCACGTGGGGCGGCTCTTTGCGCGCAGCTCTGTCAGACGTGACCTGGCGTAGGCATGGGCAGTTGGGATTCGGATTCCTACGCTGTGATATTTGTGCTCTGGCACCAGTTCAGGCATCCGCTTGCCAGCGCGCTTTCCGATGGAGGCGGGGGCGGGGCTGGCTCTTGGTGAATTCGAGAAGGAGATCCAAGGAGCTCTGCTTAAGCCGACTCAAGCGGACTCAAGCGGCGACTCAAGTGGTCAAGTGGCTCCAAGGAAGCCTGAGCAAAGTAGGCTTTTCTTGGAACGGCGCAGGTGACCGCGCCATCTTTCGCAGGCTCCAGCGCCCTGTGCAGCAAGCACTGCAAGGTCCAGAGCACATGACATCTCCACGCTCTTGAAATGAGTTCATACTCGTCTTCTGACAGCTTTGCTGGGTGCCTGGCGGCTGCCCGTGCTTCGGCAGCATCACCTCCAGACCTCGCCCAACATCGCAGAAAGGCACTGGAAGGGAGGGCTGCAGAGCTTCTGGTTTGATGATCAGTGTCGAATCGCTTTAGCTTTGAGCGGATTTGTGTAAACAGTAGCAGCATACATGGACTCGTTGTTGCTTTCGTCGGATTTGTGCAGCATCACTTTGAGTGGGCAATGAGGTAAGGCAGATTCAGTGAGCTGGCGAACATCCGTCTTTGTTATGATTCATCAAAGTTTCTCCAATTGCAACCGTAAGGTTGAGACTCACGCTGCAAGGGAAACATCCATCCGGCTGCCACCCTTCGCTTGTGAGACAAGAAAGTCTGTCTGTGGGTGGCGTCAGGAGACTGCGCCGACTCTACTCTACACGTGGTGTAGCGTCGCCAAGCTCCCCCCACTCCCTCCACCCCCGCAATGGTATGGGAGACCCTGCCCCCCCCCATGTGGTTGGATGGATGGGTTGCGGTTTGGATTGATATGTGCTCCTGCCTGTGTGCCTCTGTGTGGACGTGGGCGGTTCTCCCCCCTCCCGTGCTGTGATAATTTCTGGCCCCCTGTGGTGGGATTGGTGGTTGACGGTGGGTGAATTCGGGTTTGCGTGAGCCCTTGGGCAGGTTTGCGCCCGACAGACCAGACCTACTGAAAGGTCGCAAGCAGCAGCGGTTATGGGTAATTGAACCCCCAGTGACCCATTGAGACGTCGCCATGAACTCACCAAAAGTGGCTGCTGCGTGACGATTCCACCCTCATGCCATGGAGGGGGGCGGGGGGGCGCTCTGACGCAGCGACGCGGCACCATAAAAGTGAGGATAGTCTCCATAAGATATCAGCGACGCGCGCAGGTCAACCAATTGCTTTGCAACAGCTGCAAGACGTGGAAACGGCTTTGAGCCTTGAGCTGCAGTCTCTCACCTGATCTCGCTTCTTGTAGAGCGACGATGTCTCTGGATCGGGCTCACAACGCGCGCCTAATCGCAGGCCGCACCACACACACAGAGACTCACAAACATGCGCCTTACAAACTAGGGAGTCAGCATCAAGAGCAAAGCATTTGCCCAGTCGATTATTTGAGGCTGCCTCAAGAAGAAGAAGATTGGAGTTCCATGGGTTCCTACGGTTTGGACTTGCGAGGCAAGAGGTGCTCCGCTTGGTAGCGGCCATTGATGAAGGCACAGCACAGACTTCTTCTTCCTGAGAGTCTAGAGCCTTGGGCTGGCTGCAAGGCTTCGGGCGAGAGTTGCTTGCCGAGCTCCGGATTGTCGTAGCGACCCAGCACGCTCTGCAAAGCGAAGACGGGTCAAAGATATCCACAAGTCAAAGTCAGAGTTACCTGCAGGGCCTCGCTGCCCTGGATCAAGCGGGCTTTGGTCGCCCTCACCTTTGCCTTGCGGCGGCGTGGCTGCAAGGAAGCAAGTCAAGTTCTCCAAAACGCGGGTGGCTCCCAGCGCGCACCACGACGAAGCGAGAAGCCACTAGTGAACTGCAAATGACCAGACGAACTTACTTGCAGCTACCGTTAGCACGAGGGTCAGGCAATTGATGAAGACGATGTAGATTGCCTGCATGCTCATGCCGGTAAATCATTGGTGGTGTTACGGTGGCCAGGATTGCTGGTTACCTATCCTGGTGGCCAAGGAGATTTGCAATGGTGGAAAGTTAGACCATGTCATCCTAAAGCTTGGAACATGTCAAGCAGCGCATGTCATGCACTTAGGGTGCTTCCTCGCCTGGAAAACCCACCCTCGCAACACGGAGACATTTGGTGAAGTCTTCGGCATGGCATGGCCTCTAGCCATATGCAAAAGGGAAACTACGGCGCTGAAATCATGAACCATTCCATACAGCGGCAGAGCTCTGCAGGAGCAACGCAGCACGAAGCACGCACGTGCACACAGACACAGACACAGACACAGACACAGACACAGACACAGACAGACAGAGACAGAGAGAGACAGGGGGTAACACCCTTATACCATAACCCTGGCGAAAGAAAGAAAGACAGAGACAGAGACAGAGACAGAGAAAGAGACAGAGACAGAGATAGAGACAGAGGCACAGACACAGACACAGACAGACAGAGACAGAGACAGAGATAGAGAAAGAGACAGAGACAGAGATAGAGACAGAGACAGAGACAAAGATAGAGACAGAGACACTGACAGAGACACAGACAGAGACACAGACAGAGTTTCAGACACGGACACAGACAGACGCACACTAACACACACAGAGACACACACACAGCAGACACACATACAGCAGACACACACAGACACTGATGGATTCGGCCAAGAGTACGAGTGCAAGAGGAAAAAGAGAGGCATGTTGTTGTTGTTGCAAAAGCTTGTCAGATTGCGGCAACCGTACAAATTGTTTGTCTAATCTGGACACCACAGGGGGCCTGTCCTCAAACTAATCTTGGCACCACAGGGGGATGCCGAAAATTGTGCAGGTACATGACTGAGCGTCCTCAATCACTTCCCTTCCAGTGACCTAGCTTCGTTGGATCAGGTCAGTCACTGGAAGCCTGATCCCCCTGCAACAGTTGATTTGGTAAATGTCCAATGTCTGATTATGTTGAAAAGCAAAATTTCAAACAGTGTAGGAGTGACCCTCTGCTCCCATGTGCTAGGGAGGTTCACACACACACAGCCCCAAATGGGGCGTACATGCTTCAAGTAGAGTGAAAGGTCTGATGCACGGCAATAGGAGTGAATGGCGCACTTTTCTCGCTGTCAATAGCGATCGGGTGATTGTCGTATTTCCTGATCCGAACAGGTTCTAACAAAAAGCACCGGCATCAACGTGGCTAATGTGGTGACTGAATCCCAATCATGTAGTCGTCGTCGGTTGTGTTCGAAGAAGAAAGCTGGGATTTTAGGAGTTCTGCCGGTGATCTCCTTGATGCGGTAGGAGAAGATCTTGCGTGCTTGGAGAACGTTGTCGCCCAGACAAAGCACCACGTGTAAGAACATGTGCTTGTCTCTGGTGATGCGGTCGGGTGGAATTTCAACAGTCATCCGAAAACATTGTCCTGCCATGGAGTACCATGGAAGGCCGACCTCGGCAGCCTTTCGCTTTGTCATATTTTTGCTGCTACCAACCGACAAAGCTTGAACAAGGAATGCAAATCAACATGGACATGATGTGTGCTCTGGCAAAAACAACAAAGCGGTGTCGTCCTGACACTCGCATGCGCAGGCTTTTTTGTCACGCTTAGCGGATCTTGCAGCCCTAATCCGTCCTGAGAATTAGGGTCCAACAGCGAGTCTGTTGGGACAGTCACTCATGATCTTGAAATGGCAGCGACACCTGAATCCTGCACGTACCAGCATTTTTGCACAAGCGGTTTTGGACCGCTTGTGCTGAATAGTAGGATGCACAATATCATAAGGTGCAATCGAGTCAGAAGACCAAGGATCTCGAGATGGAGACCGGTGTGGGTCCTCAGCCAGGTGTGACGTTGCCGTAGGTGACGCTGATGATGTTGAATGCGAAGACCGTGTCTTCTTTCGTCTTGTAGTATGTGGATGTTGGCGACGTTGTTGTGTTGTGGATTGGGATGGTGGTGAGATGTTGCGTGTTTGCTTTGTTTTCTTGACTGTTTTGTCCTTTTTGTCTTTGTTGTCTTTCTTCTTTTTTGTCCTCGTTGTGTGCTTTGTCTTTTGCTTGTGTGTGTGGCTGACTGCATGGGAGGAACTGGTGGTGTCATCCTTCCTCAAGAAGGCATCAATCTCTTCGGATCCCCATATGCTGCTGTCGTTATCCTCGTCCATTTGTGCGCAAAACTGTCCTAATGTGTTTCAGCAACTGTAGTTCTGAGAAATGGCTGCGGAGTCACAACTGCATTGATGCATGTGCATACGCTGATCTTCAGAAGAGAGAGAAAGGCACACAGAGATATCAATCAGTTGACCGCGCAGACCTGCATGAACTTTCGACATGATGCTCTTAATGTTGAACCTCATCAGATATGATGGAGTTCGCAGCACAGCTTTGCTGTGTGGTTGTTGGCTGCCGGGGGCAGCAAATGTGCATCTAATTGTCAACTCAGCAATGCTGCTCACGGAGTTCTTGATCGCTTTCGCTTGTTGGATGTAGGAGTTGATGTAGTAGATACTGTCTCCTTTTGGGTAGGAGTCGTTGATGTCGGACGCTGATCAGGTTGCTCCGAATGCTTTCGTATCCACTCTTGAGATGCGATAAAGTCCTCACGCCACCATGAAGAGCCGTTAGTGGCCCAATGCCATCTCCATTGTGATGCCGTCGGAGATCGCGATCTGGTGCGTTGTTCCATGGTGCTAACACAACTGGTTGTTTTTCAAAATGCTGCGGGAAAGAGTGCATCAATCGCTGCATAACAAACATATGTGAAGTGAGTGCACTGACTGTAACAATTGGCAAAAACGACTATCATTGTTTTCACCGTCCGCTGCAAAGCGCCCGATGACGGTATGAACATGGTTGATCACCTATTGCTGCGAAGCTTCGAGTCGTTCCACTCGTTGCGTTAGCTCTGTGATCTGCCGGGTTGTTTGAAGAATAAACTCGGCTAATTGGTCGCGTAGCGCCCCGTCACTGAATGTGGA